GAAAAAGTATACACAAGATTGTGTAATTTTAGAATAAGTACAAATTTGTAATTATTTGTTTTGTGTTAATTAATTAAAAACTAAAAAGGAAATAGTTATAAAATGATAATTAGTTGAGTGAACCACTAAAAAATGATGTTGTAAAACATGTTTGAGGTCCGGATTTGGAGGGGGTAAAGAGAAAAGAACAAATTTTTAGAAAATTTTAAGAAAATTAGCTATTTGGAGTTTTTTGCTCATAAAATGACTAATTTTTGGCCGTTTTTAATAAAACTTATATCAAAATGAAGCCAAAGGTAAGTTGGACAACTTTGTCTTAGAGCATAAGATAACTTTCTTTGGCTAAATTTGAATAAAAGTGATTTTAAAGCGTTTTGACAAATAGTTATTTAATTTATTTAATATTTAAGTTGGCGATATAGAATTTTGTATGTATATATAAAATATAATAAAGAACAGTTTTATTCGGTTTAAAAAATATATTTAATTATAAATTATTAAAGAAAATTAAATTTTCTTTAGCAGAATTTTGGTACAGGTGATCATTGGAAAGAGTTAGCAATTTGTGTTCCAATTTAGATTTTTAATACTTAATTTAGTAAATATTTTGAATAAATTATATTTTGTTATTTATTTTTAGTAACAGAAGATTCTTTAAAATATGTAAATCTAAACATTTTTTTAATATATATAATAATATTTAACAATTAACAATAAACATTTTATTGTATTTAATATTAATAGAATAATATTCATATTTATGTATTTTGATTCTTTTAATTTTATTTTTTTATTACTTATTTCTTTGTTTATATAAGATTTTAATTATTAATTATTGATAAATTTTTTCTAACTGATTTTTTAAACTTACATATTTTTCTATTAATAATTAAAAATAAATAAATATGAACATCATCTAAATTTATAAATTTGTTTTGCAAATTATTTGTTTCCTCAAAAAAAGATTAAAGTTAATTAGTAAAATTATTTAATATTATTAAAATAATACAAGTTGAAAACTATTAATCTAAATAATATAAGAAATAAATTTTTTATATTATTAAATTATTTTTATAATACTTATTCAATAAATTACATTTTTTAATATTAGTATTAAAGAAGTTATTCTTGCAAATTTTTTGCAATATTTGTAAATTTGTATCATATATATAATTGAATAAATTTAACTTACAAAAGCAGATGAAAAATAAATAAGATTATAGATAATTAATTTTAAATGATATAATACATATTTTATAAATTAAAGATTCAAAATTATAACTATTTTTTTGTTAATGCTATAGTTATCTAAAAGAAAAAAAAAATTTTTAATATAATTCTAAAATATTTTTAAAAAATGTAATATATATATCTATATTTTGAGTAATACAATTCTCAAATAGTAAAAATATAAATAATATTAAATTCCTAAATTTGTAGCTTATTTAATAAATATTAAACAATCAAACAAAATAAATACTATTATTTGTCTATTAATCAAATAAAATTGTTTTTTATAAGAAAATATCTTTTATTTCTTTTTCTATTAAACTATCAATATATTTAACAACTGTTAAAACATCCAATTTTAAAAAACTTTTATGTGAAATAAAATCTGAATATTCATAAACATTAATAAGTAATCAACACTTTACAATTAAACTCACCTGATAAAAACATTAATTGCACTTACACTATAATTAAACATCTAAAAGTTTACTATAGAAGAAGAAATGTTTTCAATACTCTGTTGATAAATTAACTTGAAGTTTTCATGTTTTGCATTAAAATGATCCATTAAATTTGTATAACACATTCCATTTTTTTGGGTTATTGACCGTGATACGGGTGAACATAAATTGCACGGATACTTGCCGTCACTTGCAGGTCTAAAAAAGGCATCTATGTAACACTTATTTGAAACTTTTACATTTATTAGTTTGCATAGTTTGTAAATTTTGTCAGGTTATTTAAAAAAAGAAAAGAAAAAAAAATCGCTTGATTTTATAATTACATAAATTTATGTCATTAGTTAGAAATCGCTTAATTATTTGCAATATGTAATTACGTATATTGATACGTATTATTTTTTTATTACAATTTCTGACATAAGATTATGTATATAAAAAATTTTAAAAATTGCAATTAATTGACTAATTACAGCTGCGCACCAATCAACTAATTGGGTTCGAAAAATTGCATTAATTGCCACCACAATCAATTATTCGGTAGACCTGCTTCACCAGGCTCGTCATATACTGATTCTGGAAGATTAATTAATTAGAAAATATAAATATTTAATGATATAATATTGACTAAACCACGCCACTCTTCTGATAGTAGCCTAGCTTCTAAATTTAGAAGAACTCCAGAAGAACCTATTTATAAAATATTTATGTAAGTCGCTTTTAAGAAAATACATTAACATAATTACAATACATACAGTTAATTTATAGATTTAATACCTGAGACAATGTTCTCTTTCTCACATATCGATATTAATGCAGACGGTTCAGCGAGTCCTTAATAAAATCAATATCAAAATTTAAGTTTAAGATTGTGTAAAAAAAATGGGAAGAATAAACGCTGGTAATATTACCATATCCCTGTCTAACCGGTATTTTATAAATATTATAAAGATCTTTGCACCAATTTTCAGCTGCACCAGAAAATACAAATTCCACACTTGACATGCTTTCAACCGAAGGTGATCTAACTAATGCGAGTATGTTCGGTGGAACCGTGTGAATAAAGTTGACTTTATATTTTTGAACACATCGACAAAATGTCATCAAATTAAATCCAGGAAGAAGACTGCGGAAGCACCCTTTAAAAGTGATTGATATCATAAGTGCATTGACAAATAAATAATTTTCTCTCACTATTGCAAGCTTACCGAAAATGTAACTAAATTAAAGACAAAAACCAATCCGTATATATGGAAAATAGCTGCAGAAAAGAAAAATGATGGTGACAACTAGTTTTTTTTTAAATAATAAACATTAGGCATAAAACTTTACCAATATTCCTATGATGATATTACGAGTACTAAAATAACCTGTAGATGATATCTGTGCCATATTAGCTACAGCATTTGTATGTGTGATTTCAAACACCTTTCTGCTTTTCAGTAGTTCCAGAGCTATAGCACAAAAATGCGATTGTTGCTTTAGCCGCTTTTGGTGAATATGAACAGGTTCTGCTTCACGATCACCAATAAATGAACTATGAGGTTGAAATCTACGAACTGCTCTATTACCAAACAAAAAAAATCCTTGATTTGAGAATCCTAGCTTCTTTGGTAGCTTTACCAGGAACGTAGTGAAACGAAGTGGATGGTTCAATTCGATTTTGGCGTTCGAACACAAAATCTCAGTTCTGATTGGCTGTTCAACAAATGATCTGCATTGTTTGAGTAACATATCATGGTGTAGGTCAGATGATCGACGCATCCGAATTTTAATCGTTTTAATCTAACATGTTTATTATATATTTTACTCTTGAACAAAAACAAGTACTCTTAAATATTTGACGTTTTGCTAAATACAAAGTAGTTTTATACATACTTTGTCCGTTACTCCAC